TTTTTATTGTTATTATTATTGTTTGTGTTTTTTTACGGTTTTCAACACACATTGTTCAAAAATTTCCCCGCCTCCACCGAGCCCTTCCGGGTCACGGCGGCKCCGTTTTAGCAGCCGCTTTCCAACCGCTGGGAGAATTATTAATTTAGAGGCGGATTCCCCGCGCTTCCTCCGGGCCCACCTCTGGAAAAATAAGGAAAAAGGGATCGGGGGTCGCTGCAGCGGCGCGGCGGGCGGGGCGGTGCCGYGTTCCCTTCCGGGGCGCCGCCGGCCATTTTGTGGCGTTAAGCCGCGCGCGCGGGCGGTTCCCCTCATTTCCTCGTCGCGGCGGGACGGGGCGGCTGCTCTTGGCGCTTCACTCCGGCCTCGGGCCGCCCCTCGGACCCTGAGGTGGGTGCTSTTCCCTGCGGACCCCGCGGCTTTCCCCTATGCGCTGTAGCTCTCCTCCTTTTTGGACTCGCCCTGCGGTGTGAGGCGCGTTGCCCTCAGGGCCGCGCCGGCTGCTGACTTCCCTCATCCCCTCAGGTTTATTCTCTTCGGCCCCCGCCGCCCCTCAGGGGCTCCTACCCACCATGAGCTACGGCCGCCCGCCGCCCGACGTGGAGGGCATGACGTCCCTCAAGGTGGACAATCTGACCTACCGCACCTCCCCGGACACCCTCCGGAGGGTCTTTGAGAAGTACGGCCGCGTGGGAGATGTCTACATCCCCCGGGACCGCTACACCAAGGAGAGCCGCGGCTTCGCCTTCGTGCGCTTCCACGACAAGCGGGACGCGGAGGACGCGATGGACGCGATGGACGGGGCGGTGCTGGACGGYCGGGAGCTCCGCGTGCAGATGGCCCGCTACGGCCGCCCGCCCGACTCACACCACAGCCGCCGCGGGCCGCCGCCCCGCCGGTACAGCAGCAGCGGCTACGGCCGCCGGAGCCGCAGGTGAGTGCCGCCGAACGGGCAGTGGAGTTTGTGCAGTAGATAGGGAGATGAAGCTGAGCCATGCGCCCATGCCGCGGGGCTCGTTTGTTTTCGTATTGGTTGCCTAGAGAAGTAGTGAAGTCTCTCTCAGTCAGTCGCCTGGATGCAGTCCTGTGCCGTGTGCTTAAGCATGGGGGTTAGATCACTCTGTGGTCCCAACTGGACCGATTCTGTGTCTTCTTCCCAATGAATTTAATTATGGGGCTGCGAGAGACAGTAGGGGTTTACTAGAGATTTACTAGCAAAGGCACGTGGGATGTCTTCGGAGTGGGAGGGTTTCGCCCTGTAGTAGATTTAGCCCCCGGCCACTCGCTCTGAACAATGGCGCCCTCGTAACTCGTTTTCTTGCCCACGTGCGTCCTGTTCCGCCTTCCCTGTCCCACAGCACTCGTTCGAGTCCGTGCGTCACCCGTGAGCAACTTTTAACGCGCCTTTTTTTTTTTTTTTTTCTTTGTGGTATATTTTAGCCCTAGAAGACGCCGTCGCAGCCGGTCTAGAAGCAGGAGCCGCTCTAGGTCCCGCAGTCGGTCCCGCTACAGTCGATCCAAATCCCGGTCTCGCACACGCTCTCGGTCTCGCTCCACCTCCAAGTCCAGATCTGCCAGGAGATCCAAGTCAAAGTCCTCATCTGTCTCCAGATCTCGGTCCAGGTCAAGATCCCGGTCCAGATCTAGAAGCCCTCCCCCTGCCTCAAARAGGGAATCCAACTCTAGATCCAGGTCTAAGAGCCCTCCCAAGTCTCCGGAAGAAGAAGGAGCTGTATCCTCCTAGGATCATGGTAATGTACCTCGGGATCAGCACAGGATGCATGTTACTTTATTAGAGCACWTAGGTGGGCTGTTGGGTAGCTCTTGGAACATTAATAGCCTGAACCAAGTGAATCCTAGTGGGGCACATTGTTAGTTGTTGGTTTTGGTTTTTTTTTTTCTTGAGCAGTGCTTTTTGGTTATTGATTTAGGGAAATAATTACTGAAGGGTTTTCTACGGAGAATTTTTTTTAACAAAAAAATGTTTTATTGCAAGATTAATGACTTGGTTTTAATAAAATATTGTATGAGACGCAACCTATGATGAAAATGACTATTTCTTACTGTATTTATCCAACATCTGCATTTTCCCCTTTAAAGCTGCGGTCTCCTGTTTGCTAAAAGAATATTGGCCAGTATTGCAGATTTTAACTGATTTGGCTGATCCTCCAGGGACCAGTATCTGTGGGCGTGTGTTGGAGCAGGTTTGTCTTACACTGTTAAAGATACACTATCCTTTTAGAATGGAAGATCGGTTCAGTGGCCGTTGTACTGACTGGAGGTAATAACTGTCCTAGAAAAGTGGCAAATTCCTTGCAACGAGAAAACCACGGAAACTAGTTTTTCCTCAAGTCGACATCTTGAAGAGGCATCTAAGGATACACCGGGTGGGGAAAGGATAGTGTGTCTTTAACCCTTCAAACTGTTTGGTCCTGTTTTTTAAAAGGAAAGGGCCTGAGCTAGCTCTGGAGTTAGATAATTGTAGCAAAATTAGTCACGTTTTCGGTTTTGAATGCTAATTAGAGTTTAGTTAAGTCATTATGAAGAAGTATTAGTTTTTTTAACTTTTATAGAGCTTTGAATAACTGTTAACAGGCTGAATTGAAGTTAATGGTGGCTTGATCTACAGCCTGGTGCTTACTGTCATTTGTCACTAAATATTTTGACAGAACATTACATTTGGCCTCTGAAGTAAAGCAACACACGGGGGGAGGTGGAACACTGGAAATTCCTAAAGCTTAATTAAATTAGTCAAAGCCAGTTGAAACACAACTAGAAGTATCCCTGAAGTCATCCACACCCAAAACAGACAAGATAGAAACCCTGCTGAATTTTTCTCTCTTCAAACCTAGATGCTTCAGCTAAATGAGAGCCCACATAAAGGACGCCTTTGGGGGGAAAAGATCGCTTGAGTCTTCAGCCCGTTGGAGAGACCCTGGCCGAGCAACCAGCTGTTGAAAAGGTTATTTTGTAACATTTTGTCTAACTTTTTACTTGTTTAAGTTGCGCCTCAAGTGGCAGATTTTACATTTTATGTGCCATTTTGTTGCTGTTATTCAAATTTCTTGTAATTTAGTGAAGTGAACGACTACGATTTCATTATTGGCTTGGATATTTGAGGTAAAACTTCGTTTTTGTTTATATAGTGCTGACTTCTATTGGAAATTAAAACTGATGGTAACTTGCTGCCTCCAGTTTCATACTGAGGAATCATGCAGCCGTTATATRCTGATAGCTAACTGTCAAAAAGTAGTCTCAATTTTGTCCTGATTCCTTAAATTTCTGCAGAAATTTCAACTTGAAACTTACTGTAAATGTTTTTTTAAAAAGAAAGAACAACTTTGACTTAAAATAGTACCTTCAAATTCAAATTGGTAGAAATCTTTTCAGGTGACAGTTGATATTTGCAAGAATTGTTTTGTCAGACTCAATTCTAATCTCTTCTCTTATGTATTTTTGTGCACTAGGCGCAGTTGTGTAGCAGTTGAGTAATGCTGGTTAGCTGTTAAGGTGGCGTGTTGCAGTGCAGAGTGCTTGGCTGTTTCCTGTTGTCTCCTGATTGCTCCTGTGTAACGATGCCTTGTCGTGCAGAAACAAATGGCTGTCCAGTTAATTAAAATGCCTGACAACTGCACTTCCAGTCACCCGGGCCTTGCGTAAAAAAAATGGAGCATACAGTGAGCACATCTAGCTGATGATATACACACCTTATTTTTTCCAGAATGGTAAAACTTACCAACCTGCATATATGAACTTACATATGAGAATTGTAATGTTAAGCAAAGAAATGGTTCATTCCTTTGTAAGTACTGATTGGTGTATCTTTTGCTTAAGACATTCTGTACTATACCCACTGTCTCTGTAGTTATTAAACATTTTTTTCTGTGTTACCTTTTCTCAACTTAATGTCTGGGGTCAGCTTATTTTTAGCTTGAAAAGATTTCTGCAATTATACTGTCAATGTTTAACTTCTATATAGTAACCAAATGCATTTTACTGCTTACAAATTTTATCCACTGGGGTTGCTTTTAAATTACTGTGGGCAAACTTTAATTAGAATTGTGACTAACCCAATGTTGTGTGGCAAGTGGTAACACACCAGGCCACAAACACAGAACCAGCCAGGTCCTGGGATGGTGGTGTGGGAGGTCCACACKGAGCAGTACTAATAATTACATTGCTGTGTGCTTGCCCTGGCTCACGGGGCTGCTGCTTGATGGGGGCTGATCTTTACAGTGATGATTTCTCTTGATTTGGTACCAAATGACTTGTAACTTCAAACATCCTGTGTCAAGGGTATTGTAATGCCTTGTTTTATCTTATGCATGTATGTTAAATGGGAATGGAAACATCTGAACACTGGCAGTATGGCTTTGTTGAGGATTAAAAATACTTTTCTACAAACTGATGAGTTTGTATGTTCCAGGTTAGCACAGTCTCCACACACTCATTTACAGAGGGGGTGGCTTTTGTATGTTGATCTTTGGGAAGGATTCTCAGTCCTGGGAAAAGGGATCTTACGGGCATGGGGTTTTTTTTATTTTGAAAGAGTGCAGTTACCTTTTCATAGCTGAMGTTGTGGATTTAGGTTGGAGCTTGTGGATTTCCAGGTTAAGCTCTGTTGTGTAGTGGCTCACATGACAGAATTGAGGCTCTGAAYTATTTCATGGGCTTGGGGGAGGAACACAAATTTCTCAAAAGCCATAGCTGGGAAACCAAACAGCTTTATTTTTACAGTGCATGTTTTAAGAATTGCTGCTTCCCCAAAATATCCATGAGGTTTGCTGTAAATGGGACTGTTCTCTGTAGCTCTGTGCTACAACGAACAGCTGAGTATCACCTTGTACTGAAACCTGAAGTGGAATAAACTGAAGTGCCATCTGACTGTGCTAGTGAGATTATCATCATTTCAATTGTGTGTCTTCCTGGCAGAGAGGAGCCGGCCAAGTGCTCTTTGTCTGCACCAAAGGAGTGCAAGGGAACAGGGGTGCTCTTCAGTTTCCATTTGTAGAGCAGAGCTTCGATAGACCAGTCAGCACTGAGGGGAGGAAACAGTGTGAAAACCTTAGGCAGGGTTTATGACTGCTACAGTAACTTGAGCAGGCACCATGAAACCAGTACAACACAGCTGGGTTTGTAACAGTTTTCTACTCAACAGCAAATTGGTGGGTTTTGGATTATTTTCAGATAGCTACTTCCAGGATTTACTGTGCAAATAGCAGTCTGACTCACAGTAAGGAGCTATGCTGAGTCAGTGGTAGTGCCACAGAGGAGTTAAAATTTTAATTTTAAATATGCAAAAATGTACCTTCGGACTTGATAAGTTGTCCAGAATTGAGCATGTGGGTTCTTCTCCAGCAAGAAGTAAATTGTAGTTAAAAKATCTTCAAAGTCTGTGGCATTTGGGGAGATAAAGCAGTCTGGGTTAGTCTCTGGATTTCAGGTGTGGATAAATCTGCCTGGTTCTATGAAATGATAATTACACYATGCTTGCACTGATTTGGTATCTGTGTGACRGTGCCAAGCATGGCATTAAAGGACTTAATTACTCCACATTCTATTCYCACACCCTCAGTTGTATTTATAACCACTCTAAACTAGAGTAAGAAGGTCAGTAGCACAGTGTCACCTGATCTATTGACACCGTTCCCAGCACTACTTGGACACAAAGTCCTAGCAGTCATAAACCAAAGATACCTGACACCATTAACGTACCTTTGGGGTCAAAAAAGACATCTGAGCCTAAAATAATGTCTATGGGCGCAAGAGAGAGCAGCTCTAGCGACACCCGGCCCCAGGTGAGGCCGAGGACGGGCACGTGGGGTAGATGGTTCATGAGGCAGCTGTTGCGGCAGCTCTGCAGGCAGCGGGGCAGCTCCTCGCTGTCCGACAGGATCACCTGGGCACCGCACTTGGCGGCCACCACGCCGGGGAGACTCACACCGGCACCGATCTGAAACCACAGCGCGTTCGTGGAGAAGGCGGGTGGAGCCTGACCCGCGGGTCACGAGAGGGGGTGCCGGGCGGGGAGCGGGCGGTACCTCCAGCACTCGCTTGCCGGGCAGGCTCCGCCTGTGCGTCCACAGRTACTGGGCCAGGACCACGGCGGAGGGCCACACGTACATCCCGTACTGTGAGTCCAGCACCTGCAAYACACGGGGCGAGGCGCTGAAGCGGGGTCGCGGCAGTTCCCGCTGCTCCCCGGGTCCCGGCTGACCCCGGTACCTCGGGCACGCGCACGGCCAGCGCCGCCGGACCCTCCTCGAAACGGTACCGCCGCGCGCGCCGCCGGCGCGGCTCCGCCATGGGCCAATCGTGGGTAGACACGTAGCGCCTCCGGGCCGCGACGACCAATCGGCACCTCCTCCCGCCGTGACGTCACGCGGAGCGCCGCCGCGGGCGCTGATGGCGATGGGCCGCTAGCCCAGCCGCGGCCTGCCCCGGGCGCCGCGCTTAAACCGGGCCGCTTTCCCGGCGGGGCGGGACGGACGCTTCCGTGGGTCGCTGCTGGAAGACGGGAGGAAACCGGGTGACACGTGGCCGGCCCGCTGCTCTCAGAAGAGCGGCGAGCGCGGAGCGCGGGCCCGCCGTGGGATGGGCAGCGGCGGCGATGAGTTCCCGGGGCGGGCGCGGGACCGCGCGGCCAAGAGCGCCCGGCACCCGCGCTGCCTCCGTGCCGCCCGCGCTGCCCTTCCTCAACATGGCGGCGCGGGGGCGCCGTGTCCCCAGCCCCGACCAATCAGCGCCGAGGCGTGGCGGAAGCCGAGGCGCAGCCAGCCAATGGGAGCGCGGCAGGGGCGGGGCCACGGCGACAGCGGCGGCACGGGGTGAAATTTCTGGAAGGTGCGGCCGGAGCGGGGCCGGGATCGGGATCAGGATCAGGGTCGGGCTAGGGGCGGCGGGCGGTGACGGCCCCCAGCGCCACCGCCATGAATCACAAGAGCAAGAAGCGGATCCGTGAGGCGAAGCGCAGCGCCCGGCCCGAGCTGAAGGACTCACTGGACTGGACCCGTCACAACTACTGCGAGACCTTCCCCCTCAGCCCCACCGCCTGCAAGGTGCGTCGGGCGGAGGAGAAAGAGAAGGATAGGGAATGGGAGGCTGGGAATCGGGAATGGATGGGGGGAAATTGGGAGTGGAGGGGGTTCGACAGAGCGAGTCCTGAGAGGAACGGGGGAGAGACATGAGGGGAGCGGAGGGGGCCTGAGGGAGCCGGGGTGGGGACACGACTGAGGGGGTTGGGGAGCCCAGAGGGGGCGGGACTGGAGGGGCACTGAATGAGGGGGATTGGAAATGCCTGAGGTGAAGAGAGAGCTGCGGGTGGTCTGATGAGAAGCGGGAAGGGACCCTTTCCTGCGGCTGGGGTTGCCTCAGAGCTGGCGGGAGGGCGAGGTTGGTGAGGGACAGGACTTTCTTCCCTCCACGTGGCGAGGGGTGTGGGAAAGGCAGGGCCCGCTGGGATGGGACGGGCACCCGCATAATTCCCGGGAGCTCTTCCCGGTGTCCCGAGGGGATGAAAAGGGGATATGTCAGCCGAAAGGGCAGAGTGGCTTCTCYGCCTGGGGAGTTGTCTCGGCGGGGAGCAGTGCCAAAAGCTTCAGGCTGCTGGTGTCACTGATGTGTGCAGGGACCGGGCCAGGAGAAATGGGGCTGCAGCCTCGGGGAGCTTAAAATAACACAGAAGCAGCTCCATACCCTGGTGCTGTGCGGAGCACAGGATGTGTGAAGCGCCCCCGCAGGAAAGCAGTCCTAGGACGTCAGTCTGTCCTAATATCTGTCCTGCTTTCCTCCCTTGCTTTCACAGGATAACGTGGAGAGGGCAGATGCACTCCAGTTAACAGTGGAGGAATTTGTTGAGCGTTATGAAAAGCCTTACAAGCCCGTGGTGTTGCTGAATGCTCAGGTGGGCTGGTCTGCCCAGGAGAAGTGGACGCTGGAGAGGCTGAAACGCAAGTACAGGAACCAGAAGTTCAAATGTGGGGAGGACAATGACGGTTACTCTGTGAAGATGAAAATGAAATATTACATAGAGTACATGGAAACCACGCGTGATGACAGCCCCCTCTACATCTTTGACAGCAGCTATGGAGAGCATCCCAARCGAAGGAAACTCCTGGAGGACTACAAGGTCCCCAAGTTCTTCACTGATGATCTCTTTCAGTATGCTGGAGAGAAGCGACGGCCACCTTACAGGTAGAGTGACAGCAAGACAAAAGTGGATATTTTCCAGCTCATTGGCTGTTCCTAAATACCTGGGATTGTATCATTTAAGAAAGGGATATTGTTATCTTTCAAATGAATGTATATCTGTAATCTTGGGGGAGAGAAGAGCAGAGTTGTGTATCACAATTTCTTCTTTGGCTGCCAGTGTTGCTACAAGTATGGTGTGGGATGTTTAGTTTTTTTTTCATTCTATTAAGTCAGTTTACATAATTTTGTAGATTTTTCAAAAATTACACAGTTACCAGGAGTTACAAAGATCAGTTTCTTGCTGTATGTGCCTTTCAGATTTTAAACACCTCAGGAACAGCTCCTGGGTTTTGCAACAGTGGCTTATGTACAATGTGGAATTTTGTTTAATTATGAGTCAGTCCTTTTAAGGCAAAGATCTTAAGCTGGGTTAGGATCTAATGTGGGCACTTGTTCTTAGCTCCCCTTCAGATGGATTTGAGAGAGAATATTTCACATTGATTTAATATTTTCAACTCTTTTCTTATTTTTGCTTCAGGTTGGAAAAGGAATGAAATKACATACATTCAAATGCAACAACGTYGTATTTGGGCTGCTAGATAGAAAAGCCATTTCTATCTGTTACTATGACACTTCATGGCAGTGTGAGGATAAACTGAACCCTCACAATTAATTAAAGTTTTTACAGTGAGACTATAATTGTTAGACAATGCCTGTTGCCCTTTGAGTGACATGAGGCTATGATGTAGTTTATTTAAATAAAATTGAGCAAATAATGGCTCTTCACACTCTCTCCTGTGTCTGTAGTCCAGTTGTGATTTTGCAGGAGTGAAGCAAGAACCTGATTGCATTTGAGATCGCTGAAGGAGGGGTTTTTGCAGTGTGGTAGCAGATGCTTTTTATAATGCACTTCTAAGAACATACAATGCTGTGATTGAGCACAAAACCACACCAGGTGTAGTCTCTAGTACAAACTGAATACACTTAATGAACTCGGGATCATTTACCCAAGTTAGAGGTAAATGAGATAATGTGGTTGTGACTCAGTTATTTTGCTGTCTATCTCCCCCACACCCTCCCCACCTACAGGCACATGCTGAGCTCTTTGCTCGTGATCTTGATACCTAACTTCTTGTATTCTGTTGAGGAAGATGTGGGTTTGTTTCAGGCTGTTGAATTTTTTAGAGAGCTGAGTAGTGCATGAGAGCACAGTAATGCCTCCTGGAATTAGAGGGTTCATCTAGGTACAGAAATGAGTGCATTTAGAGCATGATTGAAAATCTGACAGGAAGTGGTGYTAATCTTATGAGGAGGATACGACCTGTACAGGATTTGAGAGGTGTGTGATAGCATGTAGATCTTAAAAGAATAATTGGTGTTGTTTAGGACATTTTTATTGGCATCGTTCCTCTTTAGAATTAAGAGAGTAATTTTTGGAAGCCATTTACTGAAGCAGCTATTATAGTTTGCGGAGTGGGGTTGGGGTTTGCTTTCAGATTGAATTGAAGAGTTGTRAAGTTTTAATGGTAAATTTGATGTCTTGTGGCAAACTGGGTTTTGTTCCCTGTAAGTTAAATATTTGGAGGAAGGTGCTGGTAAATGACAGTGTTGCTAAATAAGGGTGTAAAAACCTTCTGTTTGTGTAGATTCAGGTTATTGTCAGAAAAATRGTGTTGGACAGTGTATCTGTCTACCAAACAGACCTTCAGTGTTTTATTTCTTCTGATTTCTTAATGAAAGCCTTRTCTGTTCTATTTGTGGCTTAATCGGCTTTTCAAGGCTAATATGAATTTAAAGAGTGAATTGGCAATAGAAATTACAAACACCTGCTTATTTACAGCTCCTTTGTGAAGCAGGAAGAAAGCAGCTTGATAATCAAACTTGCAGTCCTACAACTGATGCTGGCAAATGATCCTTCAAAACCAGCTTGATTTAYACCTGCACTGGAAAGGGGAGGTGGAGAACTTGCTATATTTTCTGAACTTTTGCATTCCTCTCACTGGGCATCACCTGCCTGTCAGCTGCGCCATGGAGGGATCATGTTGGTGTTTTAGTTTCTGTACTCCTTGCTGCCAATTAAACAATTACTGTCTTTTTTTCCTCTTGGTGAAGCCACCTCACACTGCTTTTTCTGGTGTGGTAGGTCTTACTGCTCTGTTAGAGGGKCAATGAGCAGTTGAAGGTGCTGCTACAGTTAAATATGTACAGTAGATAAAGTTCTCCACTGGGAGAAATAGATCTTGYAAATGGGCAGTGGGAATATAAACCTCCATTCCTGAATGGTCACTGGAGAATAAGCTCTGTGTAGTTGAATGTTGRAATGAAAAGCCTGTTGTGAATGAACAGAAGGCGCAGAGAGAGGCCAGGGTTGCGTAACCTGCTCTGTTCCTTGTGTTGCCTTTTGTTCCTCATTGTTCTGAGTTCTGGATCTGTTTGAGCAGCAAATTTCAGAAAACCAAAGAAGAACCCCCCCGCCTAGGAAGAATCGTAACACAGGCTATTGGGACTTAACCAYACTCATAAACTTTGAAATCATTGTGTGCCTTACTGAAGAGCTGTTTAAAACTATGAAACAGATTATTTTTCACTTGCTTGTCCCACAGACATTCCTGTCTCAATTAATTTTGGTTTTTAGGTTATATCTTTTTGCTACAGTGTGAGCTTAAAAAAATCAAGAACATAAATGAAGAAAGTGTAATTAATTTCTAACTGTATGTGCAATGAAGAGCTGTAATTCTCTGTCTAAAATGAAGAAAGGGAGCTACCTGCTTGCTCTATGACTAAAGCACTTTTCTTTCTTCCCATGCAGATGGTTTGTGATGGGCCCACCTCGTTCTGGAACAGGAATTCACATYGATCCCTTGGGAACTAGTGCATGGAATGCCTTAGTCCAGGGACAYAAGCGTTGGTGCCTGTTCCCAACCAGCACTCCCAGGGAGCTGATCAAAGTGACTCGGGAGGAAGGAGGAAACCAGCAGGACGAGGCTATCACCTGGTTCAATGTCATCTATCCTCGGACACAGCTTCCCACCTGGCCCCCYGAATTCAAACCCCTGGAGGTCTTACAGAAACCAGGAGAGACTGTTTTTGTGCCAGGTATGTGTAAATCTTTCCACGAAAGAAATCTGGGAGAGAAATACAGAGATGAAGAGATTGTTTCAGCTTTTTTTATATGACCCATCTCTTAGAAAATAAACTCTCCTGAGCTCATTTTGAGACTATTCAAAGTTACTTCCTGAATGTATGGCCTGCAGCATAGGATTGTATGTCGTACAGATGACAAAACAAGTGGGACTTGAGTTGCAGCATCACAGGAGTGGGATCCTGAGCTAAATTGCAGTAATAGGAAGCTGTCAGGGCATAAAATAATTGAGGTGTTTGAGTACCACTARCTCTTTGACAAAAATGTTTGACCTTATACATGCTGTCTGAATTTTACATATRAATTTTTCTTAGCTGTGGGAAACGAACTACTT